GGATCACAGTGATCCAGTTTGGATATGGATCACTGTAATTCAGTTTGGATCTGGATCACAGTAAATCCAGTTTGGATCTGGATCACAGTAAATCCAGTTTGGATCTGGATCACAGTAAATTCAGTTTGGATCTGGATCACAGTGATTCAGTTTGGATCTGGATCACAGTGATCCAGTTTGAAGCTGTTTCTGTTGGATCACCTTCTTGCAGCAGCTGATCCAGATTCTCTGTAAGTACAGTTTGTTTAGATTAGATCAGCTTCTAAATCCAGATTACAGATCAACTAAAATACACTGTTGATCAGAGCTGCCAAATCTAGATCCAGATAATCCACGATCTAATCCTGATCAGATGTTTCAGAATAAAAGCCTGATTGATAAAGGGAGAKATTTAAATTAATGCAGATTAGAAACTTWGAGATTTTTCCTTGTGACTCTTTAATTCCAGGTTAGTTTCATTGTTATTTAGAGGAGTTGTTTGTCTACAGATTCAGAGTTAATCCAGAGCGTTAATCCAGATTAGCTCTTCAGATTAGACCTGGATCTGGTCTGAGTCTGGTCTGTTTTCTGTCGTTCAGTGGAATCCATCGCAGGACAGCGGCGTCACGCCCAACTCCTCTCCGAGCCCCACCCGCAGGTTCAGGTTTGTCCAAACCCAGAGGAGCGCCTTTATTCTGAAAGTTCCTGTGTGAGTGTGTGATGTTTGTGTTGACGTCCTGCAGACCTGCGGTCAGCGCCGCCGTCAGATGGCCCGTGTTAACGCCGCTGAAGAGAAAAGGTAAATCCCACCTGAAGCTGTGTCTCTGCTGACGGTTGGGTTTTTATCCTACAAACTTCTGATCAGGCGGGAATAAACTCAGCACTTTTATTTTGAAAAGCTGTCCTTGTTTGCAGACGACACTGCTCTGTAGTGAGAGTAGGGAGCAGGTGGATGTTTGTTCTGGTGATAAGAACATCTAAATACCTGAACCGTTTGTTTCTCAGGAGGGGTGGACTCAGACGGACCTCCAAAAAAGCTCTTTGTTGCCGGGGTAACAGACCCCGCCCACCGCAGCAGCTACACCATCAGGTGAGTTCCACCTGAGACACACGASCTCCGGACACCTGGTCCAACCTGAAAACTCATCCTGGTTCTCCGTCCTCCTCAGTGTCTCTCAGTCGACGGTGAATTCTCCTCCTGTGGGAGGGGCCAACCCACAGCCCCGCCCATTGTCTCTGTCTCCACCCCCTTCCTTCACCCCATTCACGTCCCAGCAGCACCCGGGACACTAACACTGTGGGTCCACCTTCTAACCAATCAGCTGCCAGCATCACTGTAAGCCCCGCCTCTTCCTGTAAACAACCTTGACGGACAGACTGTTCCTGCTCTCGGGTCTCTCAGTACTTCGGCTGCTAAACAGGCCACGCCCACTGCAGGTAACCTGTGACTGACCTGAGGACACGCTGGAAGTGTCGTCAGGCAGAACACCTGTGTGCTACCTGAGCGCAGTGGATCCACCGGTGGCCAGGTAAACAAAACCAGAAGCCCGGTTCATCCAGAAAACGTGGGACCAGTTAGACCTGCAGTCGAGACTTCACATCGGATCAGGTCCACAGTTTCATAAAGGTGAACCAGGTGCATCCAGGTGATGAAACCAAACAGAACTTCAGCAGAATCTCACTTCTGGTTTTTATTGAGCAAACGTGGAGATGATCTAGAGTCCTGCAACAAATACATCAACCCCCAAAACACCGAGCAGTGTGAAGCAGGTGAGCTGAAGCTTCCAGGTGGGTCCTGGTTTTCAGCCGGACCTCGCAGCAGAACTGGTCTTTCTGTTAATAGTGTGAATATTTCTGTAACCATGAAAGGAGAAACTTTGTTCTTCCCTCCTGTGAGCTCCTCAGTCATGTTTGAGGACAACTACCTGAGCAGCAGGTGGCGCTGTGGGCTGCGGTCCAGTCTGGTCTTTACATTAAAACTGGTTCCAGTCCTGATCCAGCAGAACTCTGTGGGTTTCTGGACTGTCTCGGTCTGGCTCATGGCCGTAGAGGAACCATCATCGTAGCATCAAGACCGGAACCAGTTTTTGTTTGAAATAATGTCCCGATGTCGTCTTCTGCYATTTTTGCACATATTCACCGTTCCGTGTTTTAAAGCTTCATCGTCTCGTCAGTGTACGGTGGAATGGAGCGGACCACCCACAGGTGGGGGTTCTGTTGGGATCTGGGGGGTCTCAGCAGACATGGTCCGTGGTTTCAGGATCCAGCTTCTTGCACTTTGACAGTATTGTAATTATTCTTGGCTCATCGTCGTGCCTCCACGTCATTTCAGAGGGTCGGGGGGTCAGGTCCAAGCCCCGCTCAGAGGGGTTTCTGCACCTGTCCCACCAGGGGGGTCAGGTCCAAGCCCCGCTCAGAGGGGTTTCTGCACCT